CATGCTGCAGTACTCAGAAATTAACAAAATGTGCAAATGGACAAAATGATTATGATCTGACAAAAAACAAGACTAAGTAAAAAGTGTATGTTTTTCAGGTTAATAATATTGCCCCACTAGCAAGGGAACAAGCTCCAGGAAGTAGTTTTGCCACCTCTATGGTAGGCAGGTATGTAGGTCTCTAACTTGAGCAGGTGAAGAAGTTTGCTCCAGAGTATCAGTTTCCAGCAGAAAGGATGCTTCTGACCTAAAGGGCCAACAAAATGCTTCATGATGTTTTCTCATGCAAAATGGTCATTAACATTATTGCTAACATAAACTAAAGCTAGAAAGAAAAAAGAACTGGGGAAAAAAACAGATTGAACAAACATCTGACGTACATTTTGTCCTTAATGGATGGGGAAGAATATAAATATGCAACCTTCCAAGAGATGAGCATATCCATCCTGATTTATTATTCCTTCTGATATCACTGCAGTTGTTTCCATCAAGAAGTGGGACATTTCTGGTGAAAAGATAATAATTTAAGCCAAAGTCACTTTCTTTCGCCCCATGTGCACACACAAAGAATTCTGAAAAGTGAATCGAATCTATAGGAATTTCCCCAGTTCTCCAATAATAGAAGATGACTGAAGCTTAGCACACTTCTTAGGCACAGTGGGACATCATACCATCCTGTTGCGAGGTTTGAAAAAATTTCAGAATAAAACATACTGCGCTGCATAGTGTCTACATCCATGGCAAACCAAGAATTAATTGCAGGATTTGTATTATGTACAGAAGCAGATTGCTAACATTCCCAAATTGCAAAAATTACTGAAATATTGAATTTTATCACCAATAGAAAAGGGAAAATAACTGGAAATGGGGGGAAAAACTATAAAGGGTTGCTTTGCCCGATCCATCTCTAACTTGCTCTCCTTTTGGTTTTATGAGATTACAAGTTCCCAAATTCCCTCTAGCAATACTTCCAGAGAACACCACATTTCAGAACATCATTCTGGCTATTCCCCCCCTCCACACACACACACACACACATTGTCTACAATGTTATTCCAGACCTATTGAGGATTCTTTATCCATACTAACCAGAAAAATACAGGAAAAAAGAATTTATTTGCTTTTTGTAAAAAA